AGACCCTTGTTTTTTAGGTGCAGTGCATAGTCCAGTACGGAGGAAATGGACGGACGTGTCGGATTGTGGTGGTTCGAGGTACACCAGGAGGAGTATCTGTGCCACTTGTGAAGGTAAGTTTTCCTCGTGGTTTGTCGTCTACTTTGTACTAGGACGTGTTGGACTGCGGCAGAGCAGAGAGATTCACATGGGTTCAGCCAGTTAGGAACCATGCTGTTAGGTTCAGCATTTGTATCTGGGGGTGTTTAAGGCATCCTCGGGCTTGTGTGAGGAGGTCGTGGAGAGGCGGAAGGCGGATCGGTGTCCGCACAGAGAGGCAGTGCAGGAATGGAAACCAGTGCTGGCGAGGCCAATCTGGGGCTATGAGGATTAGCGAAGCCCTGTCTGCCTTCAGCTTCTGAAGGACCTTGGGAATGAGAGGTATGGGGGGAAAAGCATAAAGGAGGGGTCCGCGCCAAGTCACGAGGAAGGCGTTCCCTAGAGATGCTCTGGTGCAGAACTTGCGGCATTTTGTGTTGGCGGGAGTTGCGAAGAGGTCCACTCGGGGAGTCCCCCAACGTTGGAAGATGTCGCGTAATACGCCGTCGCGCATTTCCCATTCGTGTTTCGAGTGGAAGTGTCTGCTCAGGAAGTCTGCCGTCACGTTTGTGGTGCCAGGTAAGTAGGATGCCAAAGGAGTCACCCCATGGAGAATGCACCAGTTCCAAAAGCGGATAGCTTCCATGCATAGCGAACGGGAGCGAGCGCTGGGTTGTCCGAGAGTCTTTAGAGGAGTGCAGGATTGCGTCCCTGGTCTCTGCAAAGAGCTTAACCTTGTCGAAGGGTAAGTCCTCGACCTTCGTCTGTAGTTCCTTTGGCACTCCTGCCGCTTGAAGGAAAGAAGCTCTACGCATAACAATAGCCGTAGCGGCAGAATGAGCAGCAGTATCAGCCACGTCCATGGCCATCTGGAGGGACGTTCTCGCTGATGTGTAGCTCTCTTGGATGACTGATCTCAGGATCGATCTTTTTGAGTCGGGGAGATGATCCATGAGGGGAGTGAGGCGTGAGAATGTGTCGAAGGAATGATTGGAGAGATGCGCCAAGTAATTGGCGATTCTGAGGAATAGAGTCGCTGAGGTGTGTACCTTCCTGCCCAGAACGTCGAGCCTCCTTACATCTTTATCAGGGCCCTGGTGTTTGAAGTGAGGGGCTCTAGAGCTCTGTTGAGCTGCGTCGACTACTAAAGAGTTAGGCTGTGGATGGGCGAAGAGGAATTCCATGCCCTTTGGTGGCACAAAATATTTCTTGTCGGCTCTTTTGTTGGTGGGAAGGGCCGACACTGGAGCATGCCACACCTCGTCAGCCAGTTCCAGGATGCCTTCGTCGAGAGGGATGGCGAGGCGTGAACTGTGTCGCGGTTGGAGATTCCTAAAAAGCTTGTGTTGCTTATCTTTGAGCTCTTGTAGGGGAATCTCCTGTCACTACCCGCTTAACTAATTCTTGGAATTGATGGAGGTCGTCTGGGGGAGAGCTGTCGTTGGGGTTCACTGCGTCCTCCGGAGGAGATGAAACCGGAATGGAAGACCCCGAGGTATGGTGCACGAAGGGAGTATGTTCCGGCTCTGAAGAGTGGTGAGATGGTGATGGCGCATGATGCGGAGGAGTAAGGGGAGCCGGGGTTGGAGAGCGCCTGCGTGCAGCGTAGTCGGAGACGGATCGTGGTCAGTAAGAATACCAGCTATGGGAATGTCGAAAGTCGCGGTCATCACGATGGTAGGCGCCATGGCGAGCGACTGCCGTACCGATAATGGTACGGGGAGCAGGGTGAGCAGGAGCGGAGGTCTGCTGCCCTGGAGGAGTCAGGAGAGGCAGAGAGATGTCTGAACTGGTGCCTGCGATGGGGAGATGCAGCAGCCAGAAACGGGGAGGGCAGTCTAGACGAGCCGCGAGGAGAGCAGCACCGATGAGAGGACCGGCGTGGGGATCGCAGTGCCAGCAGAGGAGAGGATGGTGCCGGGGAGAAGAAGCGGGAGCGGGAGCAGCTGCGGCCGCGTGGGGAATGGAAAGCAGCAGGGCTCCGGGGTGATTGAGTTGTGGCATGCGCTGAAGCGGTAGCCGCTGAAGTGCTCGGCTCCTGGTGAAGCGGGGCA